ACTAAATTAACAACAGAAACACGACTAGACTTCCTAAGCGTTGAATTTTCAAGCCTGCTGTTTCAGCAAGAGTAGACCATGTCCAGGGGTCAAATCATTCATCAGACCCTTTAAGAAAAAGTGGGTTTAGGGATCCTGCAATTTTTGTTTATACGCGTGATGATGTGAGAGCATTTGATTGTGAAATTTGCCCGGGGGTTCTGCCAACAGGGCTTATCTGAAGTCACAAATAGCTGCACTACAATATCATTCCCAGAAATACCACCCCCACAAATCAGGGAATTAAGTTACCACTTTAGCCTCCTTACTTTTCTAACCCTGGAGAGTAAGCTCTGGGAAGGATCCATTTCTGAGTCACTGTTGGTTGGAATGCCATCTCGAACAGGACACTCCCTGGGCTCTCCAAAGTGTCTACTCATTTTAACTTAATTGTCCCTTTCAAAAAAAGAGAAAAATAGCAGACAGAATAATATCCCTAACTACACAGTACCTTGGTTTAAGCAGCACTACCCCTTTCTAGACTCAACTCTCCCTTAGGAGCACTAAGGAACTTACACACTTCCCAGTCTTGGAAAACCAAGCTCTTGGGCCTCGGCTTCTTTTGGACTCTGCTCCTCACTGAATTTATACAGGTAAAGGAGACAATTCAGTAGTTCCTCCTCAGAGCTGTCTGTGTGACTGCTGGTACCAGCCAGTTATAGGCCCTTCCTTGAGTGGCCCATCAGCCAGCAAGCACTTATTAAGGTTTACCATTTGGGCAGATGCAGAGGCAGTCCAGTCCTTTGTCCTGTACTATTTGGGGCCCATCCTGATACTGCCTGTACTTATATTTTACTTACATTTTTTTCTACTCCTGGGATGGGAGGTCAATCTGGTATCCTGTTCTTTAGAGGATCAATGACAGAAGACTCTAGGCCAACAAGAAGAAATGTGGTTTCTTAGTGTTGAGCACTTTATGTAGTAGCAAAAGACCTAGTTCCAATGTCATAGTTACATAGATTTCAAGCAAGGTGAAACCTTAGACACCATGTAGTCCGACTTCCCCATTTTACAAGTGGGTAAACTGAGGCACAGAGAAATTAAATAATTTGCCCCATAGTCACACAGGTGGTAAATGATAGAGGCAGGACTTGAACCAAGAACCTCTGACTTTAGACTGAATAGTTTTTCTAATCTATAATGCTGCAAATGGAATATACTCAGCCACAAACTTTGTATTTTCTTTTCATTAATTGAATTTGTCAACATATGAAATATGCGGGACCAGAAACTCCTTTAATTAGATGTTTCATATTATTATTACACTCGCTTATAATATCAACTATTCATTGCTTTTCAAACCTTAAGGTATTGTATGAACAGAATATTGTTTTCATTATTACTGGAAATTCAACAGGGAAGTAGCAATCTAATAGAATGCAAAGAAATTTGGTAGACATATTTTTTTAGGCAGGAATGTGAAGGAATTTTTATGAAGGAATATATTGATGTGTCATTATTTCTTTGACTAGATTAATGAAGAAGTGCTAACATTTGCTAATTTAACTATTTTCCTTTCTAAGGAAAACTTTTTTTTTTTGCTTTTTGGTGAGGCAATCGGGGTTAAGTGACTTACCCAGGGTCACACAGCTAGGGCGTGTCAACTGTCTGAGGTCAGATTTTAACTCAGGTTCTCCTGCCTCCAATGCCAGAGCTCTATCCACTGTGCCACCTAGCTGCCCCTTAAAGGAAAACATTTATGAGAGAATAAGCAATGTTGTAGTGAAAAGAGTGTTGAATTTGAAGTCAGAAGGTTTCAATCTTAGTTCCCACTACCTGCTCCACGTATGTCCTTGGGCAAGTAAGTTCCAACTCTCAGGTCTCAGTTTCCTCATCTGCAAAATGAAGAAATGAATTGCATTCCATCCACCTCCAGATCTTATGCTTAACTCTGTGACTGAGGTATTGACAGAAGCATTGAAGTAAAGAAAACACAAAAAGAATTAGATTTTTGCCTCTGGGCTTTGTGCACATGCTATGTGTGTGCACGTGCACACACACACACACACACACACACACACACACACACACACATACACACACACACACCTCCCCAACACAGACCAGGTAGTAGGAACAGTTCTTTTTTTCTCTCTTCTTTTTCACCATTCCCTACTGGATTCAACTTGACACCTCCATACCCAGCACCCCAGATGATGAAAAGTTTTTGTCCCTGCTGAAAACCAATTGTACTTCAAGGCAGTATATGAAATCAGAAACTGATAACAATAGAATAACCCAGATTCTTTCTAGGAAGAAAGACCCACTTAATTTCTCTCCCCTATTTACCCTTTCTTCCTTTTCCTTTCTTCTCCATTTACCTCCCTTCCCTTTCCTCCTTATTTCTTCCTTTCTTATGTCTCTTCTGTCTCTTCTCTCCCTTCCCTTCCTTCTCTTTTCCACCTTTCCTTTCCTTCCCTTTCCTCTCATTTTATCCCATCCATTTCCCATATCTATCCTTTCTTCCTCTCCCTTCCCCTACCCTCTCCTTTTTTGCCTCTCCTCCCTTTATTTTTCCTTCCTCTCACTTCCTCTCTTTCCACTTAACTTCCATTTTTTAAGCTATCCTTCTTTTCCCTCCCCTCCCCTCCCCTACTCTCTCCTTCCTTCTCTTTTTCCTCCCCTCCTTTCTTTCACTGGGGAGAGAAAGGAAAATTCTCCCCCTCACCACACATAGAGTTTCTAACCTTCAGGCAAAGATAGTATCGGAGGGACCTCAGCGGCCAGATAATCCTTACAGGAAAAAAAATTCTCACTACAATCCACTCAATAAGTGATCACCCCATCTTTGCTTGAAGACCTCCAGTGAAGGACCCCCAAGGAAGTCCATTCCAATTGAAATCTTAGAAAAGTTTCACTTAGTTCAGACTTCAAAATATTTCTTGATTACTCCCAGCTATTGCTCCAAGTTCTGCTTTTGGATATGTATGTGGGCTAGGGGTGAATATGGGCAAGCTAAATAAATTTAATATCTTTCCATATGTTATTGTTATTGTTTAATCATTTCAGTCATGTCCGACTCTTCATGACCCTATTTAGGGTTTTCTTGGCAAAAATACTGGAGCAGTTTGCCATTTCCTTCGCCAGCTCATTTTACGGATGAGGAAACTGAGGCAAACAGGGTTAAGCGACTTGACCAGGGCCACTGGTCAGATTTGAGTCTTCCTGATTCCAAGCCTAATGCCCTGTCTGCTACACCACCTAGCTGCCCCTCTTCCTCAAGATAGTCCTAAAAATACTTAAACACAGCCTCAATGTCCCTAGTCCAAGCATTGTTTTCTCCAGACTATATACTCCTGGTTCCTTCAAGGAATTATCCCATGGCATACATTTAACATCCTTTACAATTCTGATTTCCCTCCTCCGGCTGATCTTTAGCTTAACATTGTCCTTTCTGAACTTCATTGCCCATAATTGAATATAATACTTCTGATGCGGTGTGGGGAGGGAAAAGCAAAGTGAGATTACCACCTTCTTAGTCCTGGAAGCTGTGCTTCTCTTAGCGAAAGCCAAAAGATACCTCTCAACGCAAAGCAAAGAATGATTTAGCTTTCTTTCTTTTTTCTTTTTTTTTTCTTTTTTGCTACCATATCAAACTGTTGACTCATATGGACCAGACAGGCCCCTTTTAGTCTTAAAAATATGGAAATACAAAAACATAATTCCTTAACAATTCATTTGTAGCTCTTATGGACAAGTTAACAATCTCAAAATAATATCTAGCTGAAGAAGGAAAAGGAAAAAAAATCACAGAATCTCAGATTTAGAAGGGACCTCAGAGGCCATTTTGTTACATATTTATTTGCTGTGTGACCTAGGTAAGTCACTCAATGTCTTTGTGCTTCAGTTTCTTCCTCTATAAAATGAGGAAGTTGGGCTCCATGGCCTCTAAGTTTTCCCTAACTCTAAATCTATGTCTTATTCCAACTCATACATAAACAAGAATCTCCACTACAACATACCTGGGAAGTGGTCATACAGCCTTTGTTGGAAGATCTCTAATAAAAGTAAACTCGTCACTTCTGGAGCCAGCCTATCCCACTCTGGGACAGCCCTGATTGCTAGAAAGTTTTTCCTTACCTCAAGCCTAAGTCCATTTCTTTGTAACTTCCACACATTACTCCTAACCTTTCCTTAGTTCTGCCTAGCTCTGTTGCCAAAGCCTATCAAAGACTTTTCCCATGCCCCAACCTCTCAGTGATAGCTAATATATTGTGATAAATCTCCTCTTCCTCAGATCAAACATTCCCAATCCTTTCAAATAATCTGTCATCATATGATACCATCTCCAGGTCCTTCACTGACATGTATCTCTTGCAAAAACATCTAATTTATGTTTTAACAACATTTTGCAAACATCAGAATTCTATAAATTCTGCATGTCCATTTAGATGCCATTAATGTGAAATCACCTGCAGATCTCCATTTCCATGGCATAATTACCCTTACATATGAAATGTCAAGTTAGAGAAAGGTTATCTATCCTTTAGCTATGAAAGACTTAATTGGTTTCACCTTGGCATTTAACATTGGGAAGTAAATAGGACTTTGAAAGAATCCTCAAGATGCCAAATAGCTGGGTTAGTCTAATATTCCAATGTATTGGTATTGTGTAAGCACCGAGTTAAGGACTTTGTACAATTTCTTACTAATTTCTCTGGAAATTTTCTTGTTCTTTCAAAGAAAGAGACCAACATATTTCTGTGAGTAGATATTTTTTATTTATAGTGGCACTTCCAAAGTTTCTCATATCTTGAAAATATCCACAAAAATACTGATTTATTCTTACATTAGAAAGATGCATTTTGCATACACAAAGAGTAAAATATATACTATTAGGCAGTATTTTTTTCTTTTTGTTTAATAAAACTGACTTTAGGGCAAACAAAATTGAGCTATGGTTAAAGTCTCCTGTAACTGATCCCACCCATCTTTAAAAGTATAAAATGCAGTTCTGATAACCATGAAAGAATATTTTTGATAAGCAACATTTATGAAAATATAACTTAAGTACTTCTGCAAGCTACCCCTCCCAACAACCTTCTGCCATGAATAATAATATTAAAAATATATATCAAAAGTAAAAACAAAGCATTCATATGATGGTGACTTTTTAGTTAAATACATTTTCTTATGAAGTGGCAAAATAGTATTTACAAATATACAACTAACATGAAATATTCATATACAGAATGTCTTAGCTTGGAACTTTGCACAGCCTCCTGCTCCATGGTCTAACAGGTTTTCCGGTTAATTCTGTACTTGGAGGTAAAATCAGTGGGTGGAATTAATCTCAAGTCGCAGAGTTCATAGCACATGATAGATGAGCCTGGAATTAGGGGCCCCTGGTGTTTCTGGCTGAGAGTCAGTGCTGGCAATTGGAGAGAGAGAAGCAGGGTCTTGCAGAGTCAACACAGGTTGGTCAGAGGATGAGATCCGATCCACTATGCTGGATAAGCAGTCCAAACTGGATAATGTGGAATTTTTGTCTGTGGAGGAAACTAAGGATAGGAGAGAAACATATTATGAATTAGACATGGGTAGAAAGATTTGCTACTCTGCCCACCCCCTCTCTCTTGATCCTTTTCTCCCACACTCAAAAGTCAGATGGCCATAGAAAAAGAAAAGCAGAAATTGGAAGGAAATACTTGATGACTCAGGCTAAAGTACATGTCTTTGATGGCTGGGGATGAGGATAGTGGATAGGGACTGGGAACAGAGTTTTTGTGGCTGTTGGGTTGAGGATTTTTCTTTGCTCGTTCGTTTGCTTGCTTGTTTTTAGCTCAAAGTATCACCAACTTATCACTTACTCGATAAAAACTAAAAGAAGTCTGAAAAGGCTTTGGTTTGCTCAGAGTAAGGTCCTTTAAACTTTATTACAATAGTTTTGGTTTTATTTGTCATCTTGTGTGTTTTATTTTATGCAATGGGAAGCATTATACTGAGAAGAGATTCTTAGGCTTCACCAGACTGTTAAAGGGATCTAATGGAGGTTAAGAACCCTATGTCTAAAGTGAGCTGTTCAGTTCACTAGGTCTGAAGCTAATCTACGACCATTATCACTCACCATTTGTCATATCAGGGCAGTAGACACTGTCAAAACTGCTGTTTCTTCTGGACCACACGGGGCTGTTGCACTCAGCCTAAGAAAAGGAAAACACAAGACAGAAAGTAAGTTTTCTTGTCTGACAACCTGGGACTCTAAACAAGGGGTCAGATCACTTCTGCTGACCATTCTGAACCCCTTCAATTTTATTTTTGAGATGGACAGCCCCGGTGAAATTGCTAGGACGTGAAGGTGGAAATGGAGAAGAATAAAAGTGAGGAGAAAGAAAAGGAAAAGAGAAAGAAGAAAGAAAAAGGGGGAGGAAAGGGAGGCAGAGAGATACAGAGATAGATGGTCAGAGACATTGAGTCAGAAAAAGAGAGATTATAAATGAGATGAGATGACATGAGATAACATGAGATTGCAATATTCATTGGTTTACCCATGAAGAATGGATGGAAGGAGGAGGAAACTACCCTAATTCAGTGAGAGAACACTTTCCCAGGGCAACAACACATTAAAACCTGGCACAGATGAAGCAAACGCTCTCAGAAAAGAATGCATCAACAACTTCTCAGAGCCAGGCTTCCTCAGGGGAGGGGTTATGGCATAAGCGGGTGTTTTTTTTTTCCATTTCTTCATTAAGTTATTAAAAACATGGGCAATGTAGGTTTCAGAGATTGCCCCTTAATTCTCTGTGTGTGGCAAACAGACTTGAATCACATTTTTGGAAATGGACCATAATGAAGAAAACTTTTCATTGCTTCCTCCCAAAGACCACTCTGTGATCTTTCTTCCCGGCAGCTACCTTAGCAGGCAGCACCTTGCAGAATGAGGTGCCCTCCACTGCTTTAGGAGTACAAATGGATTGTGTCAATTACATGGCTGTTGCACACTGTAAGAGCTGACTCCCAGGGTCAGAATTGGAAGGACTCTTAGAGATCATCTGGGTCAGCCCTCCTCATTTTGTAGATGAGCAAATATTGGGGGCCCAGAGAGATTAAGGTTACATAGAGATGTACAGCATCTAGGAACCAGGTTTTCTGAGTTTCAGCCTAGTAGTCTCTACACCAGGTTGGCTGCTTTCCCAAAACAGGACTATGTAATCTTTATAAACCTGGGTCCATTCAGCATTTTACAATATTAAAAGTCACCCCTAGATAGCCTTGAGCTAAAAAAAAAAAATCAGGCCACCTAATACCTCTAGCATTTTTTCATTTATTTTGAACAGTAATAAAAAAAAAAAAGACAATCATCTATGTATGAACTTCTTACCATCCCATCGGAGCAGTTGGAGGTGGGGCTGGTGGGTTCAGAGCAGCTCTGCCCAGGGAGAGTGTAATAGTTTTCGACCTGTTCCCTCAGCAACTCTTGGAGACTCTCAATGTATCTGATGGCATTTCTGAGAATCTCCACTTTGGGGAGTCTCTGGTTAGGATTGGCTGTAGTGCACCTCTTAAGCGTCTCAAAAGCCTGGTTCACCTTCTTCAGCCTCCGCCTTTCACGCATGGTGGCCGCCTTCCGCCTGTCCATGGTGGTGGCCTTCCTCTTGCAAGCTTTGCAAGCCCACATGAGGCAGTGGCCCGCTTGGTGGTGACCCGTCGGGGCTCGCACGTGCTCCTCTTCGTCTGAGCCTTGCAGGTCTGTTTTGTGGGCTCCAAAAGAGGTCATTCTGGGCTCAAACTCATCCCCAAAGTCCCCTTCTGGAGAAGGGATGCAGGAGCTGTCGTAGAAGAATTCGGATGGGGAGAACTGGCAGCCTTCCATCATTTCCATTCTGCCAGAGGAGAGAGGGAGGGATGTTGCACCTGGACCGCAGAGAGAGAGAGACTCCAGTGAAAGTTACTCTGCCCGTTCCACTTGGTCAATTTCCTCAGCAATTAGAGAGGGGAGAGGCTAGTGTCCTTAACTCAGAGGCATGGCCTCTTTATATATTCATGGAGAGGGAGGCTGGTCTACAGTGGCTATTCATTATTAGCATATCCCACCACAACCCCTACTGGGGGCTGTCTGGGCAAACCTACTTTCCCCAGGAGACAATTTGCTGTTTACGGCTCCTTTTGACTAGTTAATGATTTTACTGCATTTCTTTTTAATGGGGGCCGCCTTCTCCAACCACCCACCCCCTCCCCCTTCCCCTCTCACTTTCACTCACAATTTAACCAAACCTGGAGATTATTTCTAAATGTGATCCTAGCAACAAGCAAAATTAAATTTCATGAAATTTCCCTCTTTCTTCAATTTCTTCATCTTTGAAACAAACTAGACCCGGGACAAAAGATCTCTTGAGGAGACAGAAAAATCAGAAGTTCTAAGGATGGGGAGAAGGCCCTACTGTCCAATCAATTATTTCTCCTTTCCAATAACTTTACATAGTGATTCTTCTATGCAGAATACATGAGTTTCACAAACTTAAGAATGCATTGGACTCTTAGATGGGCTAGGTTGAGAATTCTTCTAAGATTTGGATAAGGTCATTTTTAAAGTAGCTGCTTTGATGGAGATTTTAACAAATCAGCTTTCTTAAACGCATAAAAAATGCATCATCTTTAAAAAGATGATGGAAAGAAGACCAACTAAGTAAATGCATTAGGACTTGAATCAAAAAATGTCTTTAGCCTTTGAAATCAAGGGACCTCAACAAACCCCAGAAAGAAAGAAGACACAAAGAAAAGAGAAAGAAAGAATGAATGAAAGAGAAAATTACATTCTAAGCTAATCCCATCTAACTTTTCTTGGTCTCTAGCGCTGACCCTCTTGTTTCCACAGACATAACAGAGAAGCAAGACTTGGGGTTTGCTCATTTTCTGCTTTCAAGCAAACTTACACCGTTACAGATGCGTCCCAGCTGCCGGAGCCACAATCCCTCCTGCTAGTGTAAAATTTCTAACCCCACAATCCCTAAGTAACTTCACACAAACCGGTGACAAAAGCCTTCCAGAAAGCTTGCAGCTAGATCATTGTAACCCTGGGTGGGGAGGTGGTGGTGGGGGGTGGAGGAAGGGGATGGTAATTAAAGTGGTAATGAAACCATTAACAGACGGTTGCCAGAGCCCCAAGAACCAGCCCTTTGACCACATTCAGATAACTTGTGTTTGTGTGTTTTTAATTTTAGGAAAATGAGTTACTCAAGGCACATGCCCATATGTCATTACCTAGTTGCTAGATACTAGTCTGAGTTATCTCTCTGCTAGGACTACATATTGGCTCCTAGAGGAAGCGGCCTTGCTTTAAACCTTTCTGCCAGCCTGTCCAGTAAGTGTTATAGCTTTGTCTGGGGGCCTTGGGGGGTGTTTTGTTCTGCTTTGTTTACTTTCTATAACTCCTTTTCCTTTAGGGGTCTCGGCTTGGAGATCTTGTGTCAGTAATGGCCAGAAAGGTGCTGTTTTCACCAGGGTTCATTGAGGCAAAGGGAATTATTGTGGGAGACAAGGGGAATGCTACAGATGAGGTAGAATGGCAATACAGAGGTCTTTGCTGCCTTAAATCCCAAATATCTCACCCTTCCTAGGGAAAGCGTTTCTCTTAAAAATTTTGCACAAGCCCACACTGCTCACCCCAAAGGGTTCCTTAATTGCCAGGCCAGTTGGGAGTACATCTGCAGTTTATTTAGGGCTATAAACAGGATCAGAGCCTTTGAAATGAATCCTGTATTAAGAGCATAAACCTGATAAAGGAATAAAGTTACAGGGGGGGGGGAAATCAAGATATCAGGAATGGTAGCAATCCTTGGCCAAGTAGCTGGAAACATTAAAATGGCCTCTGTCATCTTTGAAGCACAGTATTCAACTCCCTCCTGTTCCCCATCACAGAAGAAGTTTCCTCTTTGTCTTTTTAGACACCCCTTCCCCAACTCCAGCACAGTGTTTCAGTCATATAATAGAGATTGAACTTACGATTTCACTAATAGAGGGACCTCTCTCTAGGGATTCTTAATTTTTTGTGTGTGTTTCTACCCCTTTGGCAGTCTGGGAAGTCTATGGATCCTTTCTCAGAAAGTTTTTAAATGAATACAACAGAATACATAGGTTAACAAAGGAAACATTTTCAAGTAAAATCAACAAGTGTTTATTGAATGTCCCCTATGTGCTAAATGCTAGAGATAAAAAGAAAGACAAAAAAAAAATCGGTTCCTGCTCTCAAAGAACTCGCAGGCTAATTGGGGATACAATACGTGAATAACTACGTACAAAGAAAATATAGATATAATAAATTAAAGATAATCACAAAGATGAACAATTGGTGTTAAAAGGCAGTAATGACTTTCTGTAGAAGTTGGGATTTTAGCTGGTACTGACGATTTTGTTTGGGATTTGAAATAGTTATTTAAAAACAACAATAACAGGGAACCCCAGATGAAGAATTTTATATCACATATATGCTGTATATGACACAGGTTTTACACTTATAGTCTTGAGGAGTTGCCTAGATCAGTGAGGGGTTAAATGATTTGCCCAGACTCCAGGAAGTCAATAGATGGGACTTGAATCCACATCTTGCTGGCTCCGAGGTTAGTTCTCTAAGGCACTGTCACACAGCTTTTAGTGCAAACAGTAGGTGCCTAACAAATGCTTCGTGACTTTAAATGGGTTGGACCATTTGCCAAGGAGCCGTGGTTTTTGGTCAGCAGTAATCTGATTACCTTTACTGGACTGTGGGATGTTGCCTGAGTACACTGGGCAAGTGCTAAAATAGAGCTGTTTACGGGTTTGTGTTCCGGTCACAAACAAACTTGATCTTTAATGTTGTAGCTAGGGGTAGGGGAGGGGCGAGGAGAGAACTGGTTAGTGGCTGGGACGCTTCTGATCCACCTATCACTGAATTCCTTTCTATTAGGTACTTCTACTGGCAGGCTAGAATCCAATTTCTTTCCTAAGCCTTGGGTATTCTTTTGCTCCCTTTTAGGCCGAAACTTTACATCACATTCCCACAGTCCTGCCCGGGTGAGGGTCCTTGGCCGTGGGCGAAGTATCTCTGCTCTTCCTCCCCTCACCCATTGTACCCTGCCTCAAACGGGCTACTGAAGACTGCACAACTTTCTCCTTCTTCCCCCCTTTTCCATCTGCTAGTGTTGTGCCGGGAAGGATGCTGTCACTCACGAGGCTCTGTCATTAGGAGAAGTCCTCCGAGGTTACAGTTCTCTTTGGTAAAGTGATCTCAAAACACATTTGCAACGTGCAGAAGGCGAGTGGAACAGCAGAAGTACCAAAACCTCAGAGCTCCGAGTTGCTTAATGGGGCTCGTGAGGGGGCAGACCGAAACCGCTGGGCTCTGGGGACTGAGGTGCTGAAAATAGGATGCCAGGGCACCAGAACTAGCTAGACACAACTTTTAAACTGTGCTCAGAGGAGAGGAGAAAAAGAGATCAGAAAATAGGAGGAAATATTCAAAGGACGAAATACGCCAGCGTTTCAAAGGCTCTGGGGCTCTAGAGGGGTTTGGCTGTTCTTTCTTCAGGGGGGACCCAAAAATAGGGAAAGTGGAGAACGTGGGGTAGGTAAAAGAGCTTTTCAGACAACTTGGGGGACGTACTGTATGCGGTTTGGTAATCTGTGCCTCGCATATAATGGAGCTTAATAAAAATACTTGCTGAATTGAAATTAGGCTGGATTGAATTAATTTCCAATCCTGATCCCTGCCCCTTCTGAGGGAGTTTATCATTTGCGTCGAAGAAAACAAACTCCACCCTCCAGAATTTTTCTGACAAGCTAAATTCTGTTCTAAGGATCACAGACCACTTCCGGTGTGTAAAAGCACAATCAGAAAAGATGTCCCAATGCACCTCTCCTTCCTTTGTCCTCCTTTGCAGAAGTGAGGAACTAGGGTGGAAGAAAGCTAAAATGCCCGGTAGTTTTGCTGATTCAATTGCTTTTATCATCCTGGCTTTTTAATTCTTTATTAAAAGTGATGGCTCTCCGGGGGAGGGAAGAAGGAGGGATATAGTTGGAAACAAAAACTATATAGAATAAAAAGTATTAATGCTACTGTATATGTATGTATATATACATATGTATATAAACATATATATGCATATATGTGTGTATAGATATATGTTTGTAGGTAGGTAGATGGATGGATGGATAGATAGATAGATAGATAGATAGATAGATAGATAGATAGATAGCCCAGTTATGGATTTCTGTGAAGCATATGCCCTAAATCTGCAGGAAAAAACTCATCTAGATCCCAATCCCTTATTTTTGACAAGGGAAGGCATAGTACACACATTAAGCACTTAATAAATATATCAAATGTAATCTAATCTAAGAAGTACAGCTCCACCAAAGCATATGACACAAGCAATTGTATGCTTTGAGTTGCTCTCACAAGTCTATTTACTTTTTTGTTGTTATTTTTAATAAATGAAGGTTGTTTGCACTGTTAAAAAAAGTAAGTTGCTTTCTGTACAGTTCTAGTAGTTTGTGTCAGGGAGGTAAGGTTCTGCAAATAAAAATGAGTCATTCTAAGAGGCTCCTTGATTTTTAAGGACACTTTTAAATCACCCTCACAACTTTTACTAATAGAGATTATTACAGTTAAAACAACATGGATTTATGGACCTCTCACTGCAGCCGTATGGGCTATATATATAAATGAGTTTGGGGAGGTGGTGTTCACCAGAATTCCAGACCTCTGAAAAGTCGCCAAGGCTTTTCTTAAGAAGTCAAATATGAGGAGGAGAAGGCAATTTCAAGCGTTCCTACCCTGTCCTCTTGGCCAGAGCCCCCTCAAAGACAGAGGCAAAAGAGGCTTATTAATCAGTTGAATCAAAGGGGAATTCTTAATCACTTTCATTCGTATTAAAGGTGATTTTTGTAATGTGCTAAACTTTTGGCTACTTGCAGCTCTGGGAACCAGGCACACCTAAGTAAACACATTAGTACCTGACAGAGCTGCTGGAAGAATTTGTGAGGAAGACAGCTGAAGAAGACATTGGCCTCTGCTTGGATACTGGGACTCCCAGGAGAGATCAAAGGGATGCGGACTTAAGACCAGGGAGAACGATGGTCCCTACAGCCACAGCTTGTTGTAGCACATGGCTCAGCTGCTCAGTCTTGGTGGCTGAGTCTGAAAGGCAGCAGGCAGATTTCTCTAAGAGGCAGAACTAGCTTTTTAGGGTGAAAAGTGGCTAACTACATCTCTCTCTCTCTCTCTCTCTCTCTCTCTCTCTCTCTCTCTCTCTCTCCATTTCCTGTGAGTTAAAAGGCTTGTGTAAGGCCAAGGAATGAAGTGCTGGTACAGAATATCAAGGTGAGATGCTTTTAATAGCCTGGGTCTTTGGGGATATGCTTTATTACCTACCAACAAATTAAATTAAAGAAATGAAACTACAGTAACTTAAAAATGTCTTGATCTCCTCTGCCTCTCTTCTACTTTAACCTTTTGGGGAAAAAAGGATGAAATGCTGTTGGCAGAGGACTCTTCAGATAGGTAAATTCTAACACTAAGATTACATTAATAAAGACAGAAGCACAGAAGACATTTTTCAGTCCAAAGTTCTAGATAGAGCTGTGTATTTCTCACTCCTTCTCTCCTCCAAACCCACACCTGCCCTCCCAATCATTGTAGTACCTTAGAGAATCTGAGATTGGAGGACTTGGGTCTGAATCACTCTATTTGATTAGCCTTAAGCAAATCAACTCACTTTGAATTTCAGTCACCTCATTTATAAATTGAGAGAGTTGCATTAGTTGACCTCTAAATGTCCCTTCCAGCTTCAAATTGATGACCTTATGTATGGGGCCAGTAACAACCTTGAATCTCTGCAGGTGCCCAGCATATTCAGGTTTGATGTCTCATGGCTCCGGTGAGTTGAGCAGAGCTAGCAATTTAGGAAACTGTCATTTTAAAGACACTCTCTCTTTCCTGGTAATATCCTTGGGTGAGAAAAAAAAAGTCCTGATCCTATTCTAAACTTGATAACTTTGAAGCTAGCCTGCCTTTGGAAAGAGGTTAGGTTACAATTAAATCACAAACCACTTATCTTTTCTGAGTTATTACCTCCTGACTGGAGTTCCCAGAGACCTGTTTACTTTGGCTTCCCGACTTGGTAAAGATTATCATTATTAATATCAAACAAAAACATTTTAATTGCAAACACACCAAAGGTTTGCATTGGAAAGCCTTACATGTCAGCTACAGGATTGGAGGTCATAGGGAGCCTTTGGGAAATATTTGCTTTATTTAATGAAGAACTTCTATAGGCAAACTTTACTCCAAACAATTTCTCAGGTTACCCTGCTCCTGGAGATTGGATAAATTTGGTATGCGAAGATGGAATAAAATCTAACGACAGGTCGAGACCATGAATTGTTTAACTAGCAACCCTACGGAGACATAGGCTTAGTAGCCTGATCAAAGCATGAATCTAACACACACACACACACACACACACACACACACACACACACACACACACTCTGCAGTTAAGATTAATTATTATTTATTATTACTAATTAGTAAAGTCATTAAATTCAGAAAATGATTTATTTTGCTAACGGATAGTTCATTCTAAACATGCATGTACACATACATACATCCCACTCACAGAAAAAGCACATAAAATGCACAAGCATAGTATACACACACATGCTACATATTACACTCCTTTCTGATCTGATGCATTAGAGGTGGAATTTTTCCTAGCTTTAGGTTATTTTCTACTCTGTTTTTCAGATCACAAACTTGGCACTCGGATAAAACACCTTCTGGAAACAAACATCAGCAAAATGAAAAAAAATCTAGTACTCAGAGTTGTCTGAGTTTTTCTTTATGAGGTACGGATGGAGGGGGAGGTGATGGGAGTGTAGCTTTGAAAGAATGCCTTCTAATTTTATATGTGAGCCTGGCAGGATGGAAAGGGCCTTGGATTGAGGATCAAAGTTTTGGGATTGCAGTTCCTACTCTCACTTTCCAGTCTGATGCCTCATCCAAGTCACTTCATTTTTGAGACTCAGTTTCCTTCTCTGTTAAATGTTCATGTAGGATGATATGATATCTCTGAAGTCACTTACTCCTCTACTATTCTAAGATGTCAGGAGTGTACAAATCTTTGGAGAAGAGATGTAAGATGTTCTTTCTTCAAATGAGTATGACTCACATTCTCTGTTGAAATGAATCAAGGGTGATGACAGATGGAGCTAAGCTGATGGATATAAGATTTAGAGAAGAGTGAGATTTTAGGACTTTAATACCGGAATTTGGAAGAGCACAGAGCTGAGGTGCTTATTGTCTACTGAGGGGGCATGGAACAGGCTTGGGAGTCCTGACCTTGGGTTCAAACCACATGTCTGATGCTTACTACCTGTGTGGTTAAGTTGCTTAAAGTCCCTGGGCATCGGTTTTCTCAGCTTCAAAATGAGGAGCTTGCAATGACCTTTGAGGTCCCTTCTAGCACAAAATCTATGCTCCTTACGCAGGCTGCTCTCTGGGGACCTGTGTTTTAATAACACAATCTCCTCACCCCCACATACAATACTCATGACAAACCTCTTGGGGGTAGGTAGAAGCTTGGAGCAGGGATAGAGATAAAGGAAGATTTATTTGTGATCCAGGGGTTTTCTGGGATGAGGAAGAAGAGGAGAGGGGGAGTTCTTACAAGAAATGAAGAGGTCTAAAGAGACCTCTTTTTAACAAGACTGCAAAGAAAGGCACCATGACATGACCCAATGCTGCCCCTATCCCCTTCCTGGTGCAGTTTCTAGGTGGTCACTCCTTCCTGAGATTACAGTATAAACAAAGCTGGCACACTTTGTAAAGAAAACCTCCTTGGGATCAACTCCTGGGGTTTCTAGCCTCCCATTGGGCCTGGTAAGAGGCTTCATGTGCTGTTGTTGTTGTATTCCTCTTAGCTTTCAATCATTTAACCCTTTCCTCCTCTGGGGCAGAGGATACTCCCATCAAAGAGGCCTCCCCTCCCCCAGCTCCAACACCAAAATTCCTCTCCTTTTACCCTATTTACTGGAAAAACAAACCCAAGCTAACTAGGCCTTGGAGTCACTCAAGCCTTCTAGTGTCTGGTCTAGTTCAAGAAATGCAGAGGTCTTCACTTAGCTTCCCCTAATCTTCGCAGTAGTCCTGAGACAGGGAGGACCAGCTCTGGCTGTTAGTACAAGAGCTTCTGGGATCAGGTAATGCTGCCAGACTTCTCTTAATTTCTCAGACATTCTGTCAGCTAGCATTTATTCATTGATTACTACGTACCAAGCACTGAGCTAAAGCTGCCGAGTCAGGGAGAGTATGCAGATGTGTGTGAGTCTGTTTTTATCCGTTCCCTAGCAAGCCCAGATTCTCTCAGGTGGACAAAGTATGGTAAGAGGTGGGAGAGGGTAGGATGAGACACAGCACATTTAACCTATTACTTTGGAGCACAGAAGAAGGAAGGAGAAACAGAACCCAAAGCATGCAAACAGAAGGAGTAAATAAAGAGGAGGGAGGAAAATATCCAGATCATCCCGACAAATTTTCAGAAAGCTACCTGACTGTTCCACTCTTCGAACTCTTCACCCTGAACTCCCTCCACACACCCTTCACCTAATACCTTCCTTTTTTTCCCCCCTGAGGTAAAATTGTTGGGTGGAAAGACTTTTTTTTTTAATCAGAAAGATAAAGTCTCCCCTCCCTATTCTATATTTGTCCATAAGTACAATGTGGAGGAAAACTTTTAAACCTAAGTTATCTGTTGAATAGAATTGAAATACCCTTGACAATTGTCTGTCACTCCGACAAGCTTGGAGAATATAGAAAGGCCTTTTATTTGTACAATACTAGCATCCTTGAACCGTTTATATACAGTACTGCATCCCCCATCTTAAATACATTTCTTGCATTTACATAAAAAAGAGAAAGTACTAAAAGTATTTACAAAAATCAATAACACAGAATACACATTAAATAAAACTAACATTAAACCACAATTTTCCCACTTGGCTTCAGACAGGAATGAGCTTCTCTGGAGCAGGGTACAATAGGCATAATCATGATAAAAGTCAATCTAATAAATTAAAATCAAAAAAGAAAAGGTAAAAGGACTGTCTATGGCAGGGAGGTTCAGGAGACCAAACACAGAGGGTTTTGGGGATTTTTTTTTCTGAGAAGATATTACTTCGTTTCCAACTTTCAGACGATCCTGGGAATGGTTTCCTAAATATTAATGCAATGTAACCTAATCTAAAGGTTAGTTATGGGGTTGGGGTGGGGGTGGAGCAGGGAATAATCTTCCAGCAGAAGCAAAGATCCCTCTAGAACCAGCAAAGGGGTTCGTTATTTCTCCACTACCTCCTCCACGCTGATAAGTTTAGGGTCTTCGGAGGAAATACTGTCCACGATAGAAGAAAGACACCTTAGGCTACTGGAGGCAGATGACTCGATTATGGGCCCTCCGACTGTAAAGAAGGAGGCAGAAACAGTGTTAAAAGAGAAGAGACAATTCAAATCAGCCGAAAACGAAAGTCCACAGGTTTTGCAAACTATATTAACTACTTCTATGAATTCCAAGCTGGACATACTGAGGGAGAAGGCACATTTCTCCCTGTCATACTGTTTTCACGTCTTCAGTCTCCTACTGTGCCTTTTCTCCCCCCCAAAAGGGCTTCCCACTACTCCACCCCTTTCCACATACATTTTAATTAAAGTGTCCAAACTCTAAACTGTATGTGGTTTTTTTTTGGAGGGGGGGTACTTTCATGTACTTTACCTTCTCTGGGACTTAAGGCTAGGGCCCTGGAATGATCAGAAACATTTTCCCATTCAGAGCTGCAGGTGCTCAGGAAATCGGAACTGGGGAGCTGGAGCAAACACAAGAAAGATCACTGAGGCTAGGTTAAGAAGCAGGGGATCAGAATTGGACGGGGGGCGGCTTTTTCCTCGGGCTGGGAGTAGGGGGGGCTGGGGTGATGCAGTGGTGGGATTAGGGTGTCTCTAGTCCAATTAACTCGCCGAGAACTCCAGCTGCGCTTTACAGACTCCTTAAGTAGGAAGGAAGACGGGAGGGAGAAGGACGGGGTAGGGGCTGCGGGGAGGAAAGAGGGGAAAGAGCTTAAGCAGCTGCACTTTTCGCCTCCGGGTGCCCTTACATTTCCTTGCTTAGGGCTGTAGCTGAAAGGGTCTGCTCCCAGCTCCTGCATCTTCTCCTGCTGATCCAGACGGTGCAGGAGATCCTGCAGCCGCTCGATGTACGTGATGGCGCTGCGCAGTATCTCCACCTTGGGCAGCCTCTGGTTGGGGTTGGCCACTGTCCTGCGCTTAAGGGCCTCGAAGGCTTCGTTGATCTTCTTCAGACGTCGCCTCTCTCGCAGGGTGGCGGCCTTGCGTCGGTCCGTCGGCGCCGATTTCCTCTTGCAAGTCTTGCAGGCCCAGATGAGGCACTGGCCCGGGCAGTGAGGGGGCTGCAGGCCCGGGGGCGCCAGAACGTGCTCTTCGCCGCTGCTGTCGCTCCCGGCCTCGGGGGGCATTTGGTCCTGGCAGGGGGACAGGGTGCCGTCGCTGCCCGGGTACAGAGGGGAGCCCTCGGCCATCTCCAGCTGCTGCAGGGCTCCATTCTCCCCGTCCAGGTAGAAGAAATAGGAGCCCGTTTCGAAAAGGTCCATCATTATGCTCTCCTCTTTGGCCTCTGGCTCTTCGGGAGCTGGGTGATGGGTTCCCAACCCCGGGAGAAACCACCCAGATGGCATCTAATTAGTGCGGTGACATAAGTTGCCCCCTGCTTTATATATAGCCGAGGCTGAAACTCAATCCAACTTTTAGCTGTCGCGGTGCCTCACCCTCCCAATGTGATTGCAGCTACTCTCCATCCCCGTCCTCCCCCCCCCCCATGCTGTCCCTAGAACATCATCTCCTTAGAAAGACAACTCAGGTTACTATCCACTCCCAGAACCAGGAGACATCCGATTGTGTTCAGGGTGGGGAAAAGGTCAAAACGCACAGAGCCACTAAACAACCCGACTCAAACAGCCCAGAGCAAGCTCTCGGATGTGCCGTTGGGCCAATTCGCTTAGAGGGCAAGGGGAGAGCAGCCAGGGTTTAGGCTGGCCACCAGTCCCCTCCCCCACTGCCGCCCCTGGATTCTAAATATAGACTTATGCGGAAAGATTTCAAAGGCACCAGCTATCCCTCCAAATAGACCAGCTTAACATGGTCAGAAGGCTTCGGCCTCTTATTTCGCCTTCATCCTTAAGAAGATGCTAGCCCTGTGGATCTAAACTATGAGAGTTGTCTCAAGTTTATAAATTCGTGAGCAGACTTCCACCTGCTTAACATAAATGTGTTCATTCTGGTCCTGTGGCTATAAACTGACCCAAGGGGCTTCTTTCTTTCTTTTTCTTTAAACAACTGCCATTCACATGGGAGAGGTAAACTAAGGTTATAAGTTGAAAAGCAGAGCCGACATCAATCTTTTAAAAAAATTATTTATTTAAAGCTTAAATACAAAACGAAAAAGGGGAAAAAAGAACATTTCCATGTATGCAGCAAAACATAAGAGAGGATTCAATATAAAACAATGAATTTCCATTTCAAGAAAACTTATGTAATAAATACTAGACATCGCTTTCAGTGCTACCCAGATTTTCTGTGCTTCCTTCTAGGTCTTTTTTTGTTCTCTGCTGTGCACTTTCTTCCTTCCCCCACCCAGGTTACAATTAAACAAGACTATATATGCATATACATATATATGCAAATATATGTGTATATATGTATATGTAAGACCATACTATGCATATTTCTATTTGTCAGTTCTTTCTCTGAAGGTGAGACATTAATTAATCTCCTTAGCAGAAATTTGTTTCCTCTATGTTCCTGGCTGTAAATGGAGTCTGCCCCCAGTGAAAGGCAGTGTAGTACAATGGAAAAGGGAATTTAATTGGAGTCAGGGAACCCAGCCAGCCCACTTACAACCTTTGTGACTGAGCAAATAACTTCACCTCAGTTTCTTCATCTGTGAAAGGAGAGGGCTTTTCAGCTCCATACCTATAATCCTGTGGCTGTGGGAGCATAGATTAAGAGCTGGCAGGATTCATGGAGGTCATCTAATCTAAGAGAGGGAGTGTAATACAGAGGAAAAGATTGCTGAATATGGAGGATATGAGTTCAAATCCTTCTTGCTGTGTGACCTTACACAAGTCATTTAATATATCTCCTGTTTTCCAATTTGTGAAATGATTACATGGTAATTGGGGTCCCTTTAAATTCCATTATTATCATCCTACTAGTTTTAGAGAGGAGGGCATTGCATCCCAGAGAGGAAATGATTGACCCCAGGTCACACAGGCAGGAGGCAGTATTCACATTCAATGTAGCATTCTTTCTGATGTGCCATACTGTGTGTTTGTTTCATTGATCATTTAAAACGGGAAAGAGCCTTAGAGACCATTCTACTCCAGGGATTCTTAACCTTTTTAGTATGTATCACGGAATCCTTTGGCAGTCTGAAAAAGCCTATGAATCCCTTCTCAGAATAATGTGGTTTTTTTTTAATAAATAAAATACAATACATAGGATTGCAAAGGAAACTAGTTATATTGAAATAAAAATTTAATTTTCCCATCCAACTTCACAGGCCAACTGAAATCTATCCACAGACTACTTGGGGGTTCAGGATCCAGATTAAGAATTACTAATCTAGTCCAAAGCTTTTTCTTTTATGACTGAGGCAGCTGAAGCCTGGAGAATTAATTGGCTTGCCTGTAACCAGGAAGGACCAGAGCCAGTATCTGGGCTCAGAATTCCTGATTCCAAAGCCAGGTCTCTCTCTACTACCATACAGCCATGATGTGTCCTGTGTGCTGCAGAAAGAGCTGTCTTAGTAAGCTCTCTCAGAGCAGAAGCTGCTCTCAAAAATCTCTTCGATACAAAGTACTGCATTATGTTTTTGTTTGTTTGCTATTTTGTTTGTTTATGAGTATAAGAGTAAAGGTATCTAGGTGGTAAGGTGGATAAAGCACCTGGAGTCAGGAAGACCTTAGTTAAAATCTAGCCCCAGACACTTACTAGGTGTGTGACTCTGGGCAAGTCACTTAACCACTTCTTGCCTCAGTTTTCTCAACTGTAAAACAGAGATAATAAAAGCATCTACCTCCCAGGGTTGTTGTGAGGATGAAAATGAGATAATAATTGTAAAGCACAGTGGCTGACACATAGCAAGCACTATACAAATGTTAACTATTATTAAGAGTAATAATCACCAATTTCAAATCATGCTTTAGGGTTTACAAAACTGTTTTCAATACATCTTATTTAATTCTTGCAAAGTTATCATTAGACATCATTAAGACAGTGCCATTCAGCACATTTTTGAGTACCTCCTGTATGTCTTGCTTTGTGTCGTGTTCTATGAAGAAATGCAAAGAATAAGACATCATTCTTTATGACCCTTAGAAGAGAGCATGGAATTTAGAGCCAATCAACAAAAAAGCATTTAATTAGCACTTGCATTATGCTAGGCATGGTGATACCTGCTGGTGATACAAAGACAAACATGACATAGTTCCTGCCCTCAAGTAGCTTACTTTCTATTAGGGGAGAAAACATACATATACAAAATACATACATAAAATAAATACATAAAACATAAAAATAAATACAAGATAATTTCAAGTGGGGTAGACAACTAGCCAGGGTTATTCCCCTAATTTCATAGCGAAGAAAACTGTGACTGTATATTTATTTGCAAGCTATCTATCCCATTAGAATGGAAGCTCTTTGAGGACAGGACATGTTTTTGCCTAGAGAGCAGCACTGGCCACGTCACTCCCTATTAAATAAATTCCAGGAGCTTCCTGTTACTTCCCAGAATAAAATGGAAAATCTTCTGTTTGACTATAAAAATCTGACCAGGGAAGACTATGGAATTATCGACTCCCTCATTCTAACCTAGACACTGTTTATCTCATTATACCTTAATATACCACCTGATTTTTTGACTGCTGTGGCAGTATTAGCATATATTGACATATATTGAGCTTGTAGTCAGCTAAAACCCTTGTGATTTATCTAGCCACATATCCAACCCACATTTACAAAGCTGATTTTTGGAATCCAGGCACAAAAATGAAAATTTATTCCTATTCTATCTCAGTGCATTCAATTTGGCACAAGGGTCTAGCAGGTTGAGCACTTTGGTGATAATAGCTAAGAGCTAAGATATAGCGCTTTGAGATCTGCAAAGAGCTTTATATATGCTAACTTACATGATCCTCACAATAACCCTGTGAGGTAGGTGTTATCATCATCTCCATTTTACAGATGAAGAAACTGAGACACTCAGAGAGTGACTTACTCAGAGTTAGGGTTCAGTCTTAGGACTTTCTGACTCAAAAGTCCAGCTCTCCAGCCCTACTCTGACAAGCATTGTGTTTCTTTTCCTTCCCAGCTTCCTGTCATTTTCAGACCTGATGACCATACTACTCAGGCTTTGATCCCCTCTCTCAAGACTATTATTCAAAAGCTAGGAAATTTCTACTTCAATTCATATTCTGCCCATGCCTTTTGCACATGTGTGCTCTGTATGTTCTGTGCTCCCAAGATATTTTTTATACCAATTTGAAGAATCTAGTCATAAGCCAGTGATAATAACCTAATCACAAGTGGGAAGTAGAGGCATAGGAATTAGGAAGGGGGGAGGGTAGGAAAGGCAGCCTTGCCACTTGTTACCTGAACTACTGAAGGAAGCTAGCAGAAATCCCACAGCCATGATGAATAATTACATTACAAATTCATGTTTACCCAACCCCAACTGGTCTTTCACTGCCGCAAGGTAATCCTTTTATTCTTCCTTAATCGATTTTTTAAGTCACTCCCCAAAGAAGTCATTCTAAGCATTCAAACAAATCCAAGTTTCCCCCATCTTTAAGAAAAGAAAAAAAAAACTTTACTAGATCTTGTCCTCTTGGGCAGCTAGATGGCACAGTAGATAAAATGCTGGACCTGGAGTCAGGAAGACTCATCTTCATGATTTCAAATGTGGCTGAAAGACTTAGTAGCTGTGGGACCTTGGACAAGTCACTTAACCCTGTTTGTCTCAGTTTCCTCATCTGTAAAATAAGCCAGAGAAGGAAATGGAAAACCAGTATCTCTGCCCAAAAAGCTCCAAATGGGTTCAAGAAGAGTCAGACAGAACTGAACAACAGTAAATTGTGCTTTCAGGCTATTGTCCTACATCTCTCTGACCTTTCTCACCCAAACTCCTGGAAAAAGTTTTCAGTTCTCAGGGACTCTACTTTCAACTCACTCATTCCTCAGCTCGTTATAATCTGGCTTCTCTAGGTGTTTGGGAGAAACTTGCTTTCATATTTTCTTTTCCACGTTTAAGGGGTGACAGTTGAGCTAGAGGCCCAATGCTCAGAGATAGAGAAGCTATAGCCATAGAGACTTCCTCCAATCTAAACCGTACCATATAGAGACTATTTCTGGCATAAGTCATTTGACCTTTCTGTGACTTCATTTCCTATCCCAAGAATGAAGACAATGGAATGACACACCTGTCAAAGCATCTAGTGAGCATGATGTAAGGAGGGAAGAGTGAATGTCTAAAGGGAGATTAACTGCAAGGGTGTATGTGTGTGTGTGTGTGTGTGTGTGTGTGTATGTGTGTGTGTGAATTTCTCTTGGGCTCATAAGTTTGGTAAGTTTGATTTTAAAATTTTTAATTTCTACCTGTCTATACACTTAAATTTTC